GGAGAGACACAGGAGATCTGGTGGAGAATGAAGGAGATGTTCTGTTTCTTAATCTGGAGGGCTGTTTGGGGTCTTTTTTGCCTATAATAATCATAAGTATTATTTATTGAACTGTGAAGTGTTCATACAGTTTTATGTATTTTTCCACATATGATGTACTTCATGCTAAATTTTACAATGCTAAGCACGCATATTTCCGGGAGGGGAGCCCACTTTTTATATCCATCTGAGTGTCACCTGATCTTCTAACTGAAGACAACGAGTCCTCATGACAAGGTGATCATGGCCCATTCCTGTCAGCTCCCTACAGCCCCTCTCTGCCTTTGAGAGGAACATGAACCAGGTATGGACCTATGTCCCTGTAACTCATGCCTGTGGTAAGGACAAATTTGCATCTGGGGACTTACAGAGGTAAGGGAAGTTCTTCCCTTTCTCCCAGGAGACTAAGTGTCTGAACACCTCTTTTGTGTTCCCCTTCCCTTGCTTTCCTGACATGATGTCTGTTTTTCTTCTCATGGCCTCATTCCATCTTGCTGAGGGAGATGGCTGTTACCACAGAGCCTAAAAACAGCAGATCCCAAGTCAACCTGCAAGGTGTTGGGCCCCAGCCTAGCACACTTTCTGCCACGCCGTCTGCCACGCTTGTCTTTCTCTCCCCTAGCAGTATGTCCCTGCCTGATTTGGCTTCTGTCAGGGGCCACAGCCCTTAGCTTGGGTTGGGTTGACACGTCCACAAAAAGACACATTTGCTTATTTGTCTATATCAGACATGGGGAAGTTGGGATTTTATTCTGAACAGCAAAAAGGAGCAACTGGATAAAGAGAATCACAGAATCTGAACTTGTTTCTAAATGATTTTTCTGGAAGCTGTGTAGAACTCAGTAATGGGAGGGCAAGGGGAGAAATGGAAGGAGTTATCCCTGAGAGGTCAGCTCAGAAATACAGAAGCAGATGCTGTGATTTAAAATGGAAAAGTCACTGCAAAGGTGTTGGAGATGTGACATGATTTATGGCCCACAGACTTTGCTGCAGAAATGAATGCTGGAATAAGAGAAAAAAGAGTCGAGACTAAATCTAAGAGGTCTGAGGAACAGAAAGAAGGTGCCATTATCTAGAAGGTGAGGGCTTGGAGAAGCAGGCTTGTATGTAATCAGGAAGAGCGATTCTGTTTGGACATGACCGGCTTCACGTGCCTTTTATTATCTATGTAGAGATGTCTAGTCTGTAGTTGAATAAAGGCCTATGTGATCCTGGAGGGAGGTCAATGCAGAAAATGTAAATTTGAAAATTATCAAGGGATAGATGCTCTTTAAAAATGCCAGTGCCTGAATGGTGTCAGTTGGATTGGGAACTTCACAGCAAAGACTCTAATGATTGAGTCACATCTGTGTGGGCCAAAGCATCAAAGACCCTGAGGATATTACTGGAAAGTATCCTGAAGGAGACTAATTTCAGGTCCCTGAGGTCTTGTGTTGAGGGAACTTTTTGCTATTTGTAAGTACAGTACAGTTTAGATCAATGACCATTAGTTGCAGGGCAGATCAACTGTAATAAAACCAAGAGAAAGAGAAGAGAGAGAGAGAGAAAGAGAGAGAGAGAGAGAGAGAGAGAGAGAGAGAGAGAGAGAGACAGAAAGAGACAGAGAGAGACAGAGAGAGAAACAGAGAGAGAGACAGAGAAAGAGACAAAGAGACAGACAGACAGACAGACAGACAGTTGTCTTTGTTAGTTTCCTCATTGGTGCAGTATAGGAGGAGGTTCTGATAATGTCTTCAGGACCCAGCCCATCCTGTGTGTTTCAAGGCCCTGGTGTCTGCATGGAAGTGGCCAGAGCTGGGCTAACAGCACCAGCCTTTGCCTTATATCTCATGGCCTATGTCACCAAGTACCATGGTAAGTGGAAATGACGCCTCCCCAGAGACCATGTTAGCTCTGATAATGCTCCAGTCTCCTGCCCACCATTTGCCCTCAGGCCACCTGCAGGGGCAGGATACAGGGCACCGAGAGAAGCCACATGGCCCCATGGCTGTTGGAGCTGTGAGCAGGGAGTCTGGGCCGGAGATGGAGGAGACGCCTTGTTTTCAGCCCAGGCCCAGCCTGATATCCTCACTGCTGACCCCCTGATGTCGCTGAAGTCACAGGGGGACTCTAAGGACTTGCTGATTGGCCCTCAGGTGGTGTACATGTTGAGGGGAGATGAGCCTCCCTCTACTCCCATGGCAAATGTGTCCAGGGTGGTGCCCACACCCCCTCACTGCTCACGCTGCCCGCCAGGGCAGACCCAACCCAGAGGCTTCCTGCTGCAGTACCTGAACTATGCTGCAAGATTCTCTCCCTCTTGATAAAACACCCCCACCCATGTCAGGCAGGCCGCAGAGGCTGCTAAGTTGGCCCATCAAAAATAGCCTTAATGGATAAACATTGGGCCTCCTTATCCTCCATTGAGCCAACCTGAGTCTTGCTGCGTGCCTCAGAGGACACATTACCATGCATAACCTTTGCCCCAGCGCTAACTGCTCCTTGGTTAACTCTCCATCAGTTTCCTTGCCCTTCCTCTCTTGTTACTTCCTTCTCTCCCAGTGCTCCCAGGGATTATCTCCCAAATAAACTGCTGGCATTTAAGTCTTTGTTTCGGTTTTCCTTCTGATAATATCTCTTCTAGTTCTATTTTGTACACATTTTTGGAGTTTCTCTCCATGTAACAGGATGTGTCAGGCACTGTTCTTGTCTGCAGCAGGGAAATCATACATATAACTATATTGGGAAAATATACAACCATTGTAAAGAGGAAGTGGTAATCAGGAAAGACTTCACAGTGGAAGTGATGTGGAGGATTTAGAAGTTGAGTAGGAGTTTTCTAAGTAAATAAAAAGATGGATAGAGCATATTTAAAAATCCAGTGACGTACAAAAGTATAAGCATAAAGTTCAGAGAACTACTATAGTTTAATATCTCCTATGTTGCTATAGAATAAAATATATTTTGCAGGTAGTAAAATGTTTAGCAAAATGATAAAAGAATTAGAATGTGAATAGATATGTTTGAAGAGCTAGGCAAATTCTTGTCTGTATTGCTGGTGGTGTTTTGATTATCTATTTTGGTTGTGTATCAAATGCTCATTATAGACAATTTGGCATATATAAAGAGGCATAAAGAAGAAAATAAAACTCTTCAAATTCAGGGCTAATTAAATTATATGGTATATCCCAGAGGAATTTTAGGCCGAGAAGTCAGGTGGCAAGACTTGAATTTATAAAAGAGGTCTGCAAGCTGATGTTGATTTTGTGGCAGGGACAATACTGGACTGAGTGTGGGATGACCAGTCAAGAGGCTGCAGCAGGGACAGGTGATGGGACGTTCTGTAGGGGCGCAGTGGGAACACTGGAGCTCCACAGGTGTTTCCAAAGTGACTTTGCAAGGATATGATGACCAGTTGGACAAGGCATGGGGGAGAGAGAAAGTAGGGAACATGACTCCTAGACAGATTGTGAGTGTCTCCATCCATAAATTGGTGAAGGGGAAAAAAGTTCAGAGCAAGGAGGTTCAAAGATCCTTTCAGGTCTTCTACTTCTAAACTGTGAGACTTAAGACAAACCCTGGATCCCTCAGAACCGCAGTGTCCCAAACTGAAAAATGCAAAGATGATTCTATACATTTTTCCCTCACAGGCTTTTTGCAGTGTATAATCCAAAGGAGATAAATACCCTACAGGGATGGAAATCTCCGATTCTAGTTCTTGTGCTACAACCTCTGCACCACCTTGCCCCTGGCCTCCCACCCCTGATTCCCAGGACAAGCTTACTGGTCTCCAAGTTTCCCTTCCTCTTTCTGCATCTTACCCAGAGGACCTCTGTCGTGCTGGTTCCACTGATAAAAATGGTGGAAACACTTACATGTTTGACTGACTCATTTACTGACTCATTCATTCACTTACCTCACCACCAGTTGGCGTCCTGGCAAGTTCCAGGTGCTGGGAGCACAGTGGCACGTAGGGCAAACAGGTCTTTGCTCTCACAGAGCTCATATGTTGCTGATGGAGTGATGCAAAAGCACAAGTAAATCTGGGTAGTGATGTAATGAAGAGAATAGAGTAGGGTGCTGTGATAGATAGTGAAGGTGTATTTTACAATAACGAGGTTGAGAAAGGACCTCTGGACTGAAATCTAAACTTCTCAAGCAGAGGAAACAGCAAAGCTAAAGGGCCTGGGAATGCGTTCAAACTTGGAGTATTGAAAACAGGAAAACTCAGTGTTGCTGAGTTTATACAAATTGTTACCCATTTCATCTTCACCTGCTGATTCAACTCTGCTTCACTACCATGCTCCTGTGGGCACAGCCAGTCCTGACTACTGTGCTGGGCAGCTCTGTGCCCTGAACTGGGTGCTCGTGGATGGCAGACACCACCTTCCCAGCTTCCCTAGTGGCTCTGTTCCAGCATGTGGCAGTGATCAGACTCTCTTTGATGGATGGGTGAATTAATCAGTGGATAAGGCAACTGAGGAGCTAGCAACCACTGGGTCCAAGTGACTGAGGCTTGTATGTATGGAAACGTTACCATTTCAAATTCTTTCCCCCCTTAATCAAACTGAAACCCAAGCCCCTCATCCCTCACCGTGTTTTACTCTCTCATGGCACAGATTACTTCCTCCCTTACGTTATAGTGTGTATATTTATCACGTTTCCTGTTTCCCCTTGTCTTCCTTGCTGAATGAAAAGTATGTTGTCAGGAATATCTGGGGCTATTGTCCACTCGTGAGACTCTAGAACCCAGACTGCCACATACGAGGAGGGTGCAGAAACAAACGGAGGAGTAAACAGGCGATCCGTTCTCAGCCTCACAGGAAAACGGTCACGGTGTCAAAAGTTCTGTTGGCTGCTGGAACAGAGACCTGGGAAGGAAATACTGGGCTGTGACCTTTCGGCACCTAGAACCAGAAAAACAAAACAAAACGGACAAAAATCACAGCCCTGGGCATCCAGCAAAATGTTCCCATTTCATCGACGGGCTTGATTAGGGTAACTTAAGTGGCCTGATGACAGCAAATGACAGCGCTTGTGCTCCTGGGTCGCTGCTTTCTGTGGTCCTTTGGCAGTCCCTTTTGATGGGACTCGGATCCTAGTTTTCAGAATCTATGATTCTGTCTCCCTTCGGTCAGAAGTCAGAGCCTGGTGACTTTAGGAGAGCTGTGTGCTACTCCAGGATAGAGAGGAAAAGTAAGCAGCGGGTCCCTGGGTCCCCGGAGTCCTGGGAGCCTGGCCCCGACGCCCAGGAGCCCGCGCCGCGCCCCCGCCCCTGCCCATCCCCGGCTGCCCTGTCAGTCTCCATTAGCGCTAACAGGCTCCAGACCGAGCGGGCTGGGAGCTGGGTTAATGCAATCGGCGCGTTACCTGGGGCACAGGCTACATTACCAGCCCGGCCCCCGCCCGGTGCGATCAGAAGAGCCAGCCTGCGTCCGTCCGGCCGGCTGCCCAGCGCCTCTAGCCGCGCCCCAGTGCCACGCGGCGGAGCCCGGCCGGGTGGCATCCCACAGCCCGCAGAGCAGAGCGCTTGGCGTGCGGATCCCCCAGCTGCAGGACATGTGAGTGTCGGTGTCGCGGGACCAGGCTAGGTGGGCGGGAGGCCCTGCTGAACCTCAGGAGGAGTGTCCGTGAGCCGAAGGGTAGACTGGCCAGCGCCTGGCTGTCGGAGGCGGCGCACACCCGAGCTGGGACGCCTGGCGGCAAACTGGCTGCACTGGGTCCTCTCACTGCGTGGGAAACTTCAGATTCGGGAGCCCGGACCCAGACGTTTAGGGGCTGCAGAGCGCCGGTGACCCTTAGCAAGCTTGGCGAGGTCTTCAGCGACCCGCAAGGCGCTCAGGGGCGGTCTCCAATCCGAGGTCTGCCTCGGTCCCTCGCGTTGCAACCCCGAGTCCTTCGTTTTCCAACAGTCGCGCCCCCTTTCTGGTAACACTGAGTCTGCTCAGAGCCCGCGGATTCCGATGCCCGCGGTGCTCCTGGGTGGTTAAAGTTGGCCCAGGCAGGCAGGAGCCCTGAGTGAGAACCTCTTTTCCTTTTCTTCAAGCAGAGCTTCGACGTGCTCTCGCCAGCACACATGAAGTCCCTCTCGCCGGCCGCACCCATTCTTCTGGCGCGGATGAACCCGCAGGTGCAACCCGAGAACAGCGGGGCGGACCCGGAGTCCTTGCAACCCTCTCGGGGATGCAAAACCGCTGATCTGCTGGTAGTGAAGGAGCACAACGGCGTCCAGTGCCTCCTGGCTCCCCGGGACCGGGACGCGCAGCCTCGGGAGACCTGGGGCAAGAAGATCGATTTCCTGCTGTCGGTGGTCGGCTTCGCGGTGGACCTGGCCAACGTGTGGCGCTTCCCCTTCCTCTGCTACAAGAATGGGGGCGGTGAGTGCGGGGTCAGGATGAGGCTTTGGACTTAGGAAGCCACTTGTGGTACAACGCGGTACTGGAAGTGGACAAAGCCACCTAGGAGAACAGAACGATGGAAGGGGACAAGACTGGAGCATTGGAGGGAGCCAACCAGGGCTCATGGAGAAAGCAAGTTTGGGGTTCTTGGTGACGCGAGAAATCGAGACAGGACTTTGGACAGGGATAGGTGCGTGGGTGGAAGAGTAGAATTGGGGCCCCCAATTGGTTGAGGAACTCTGATCTTTGATGGTTCCCAGGAGTGGAGGTGGAGATTCAGAGAGCTTGAAGGAGCATCAGCAGGCTAGAGAATGTGACAAACAGAGGCAAAGAGACTCTAAATCCTGCACCTTGAGTCTGTGGGCAGGTTCTCTGAGCCAGGAGCTGACAGAGCGGGAGGCCTTTGGGGAAAGAGAAACACACTAAGAGAAACAAACCAGTGTAGGAAAGAATACTACTCTCAATGGGGCAGTAGTTTTGGTTCAGGTATCAGCATATACAGCCTAGGCAGCATTAGGTCAGTATTGGCCAAGAACTGGCCTGCTCCTCGGAGCAGAGGACTTGGGTGAGTGTGTGAAGTCTCTGGCCGCATGGCAGAGTGAGGTGTCATTGGAAGGGTCTGGAGGATACAGTGGAGCAATCTCCGCTGGCCCACCGTGGGGTGGTTAGTAAGGTTATCCACCTAAACTGGAACAAGAGCCTCTGGGTCCCCTAAACCCCAAGGACAAGATAAGGCAAATCCCTAGGCAAGCAGCTCAGAAGTCAGGGTGCTTTGCCCAGAAGTGTGCAGAACACCCAAGTCCTGCCACTTTAGCTATGATAAGCTTAGGGTTCCTCTGCAGAGAGCCCACTGAAAGACCTTGCAGAGGAAGAAACTGACCCAGTTCCGGAAAGCTCTCTCTTCACTGTTGCACCCTATCTGGCAGTGGTGATGGCTCAGGGCTTGAGGGAGGTCAGTGGTAGGGAGGCTGAAAATTTAGAGGTGAGTAAGGGGAAAGCTCATGACCTTGGCCCACATGGTTCTTGCTTTCATACGTTCTCTGGACACTGGATTTAGAATGGGCAAAGGGAGTGGACAGAGACTGTGTAGCTCTGAGCATAGGATGCCGTGTATAGAAGCATTTAGCTCCCTTCTGAGGGAGCTAGCCCTACGTTGAAGATGGTAGATGAAAGTTTATATCTATGGTCTCCTCTGTCATCTCCTGAAATAAGTCTGCAACAGTCAGGTTACTGTCAGACAAGGCATTTGGAACAGTAGTCTTGAATTCAGGAGAAATTGGGACCTAGGATCTGATCCCAGGGGTCCCTAATATTCTAGGAGCTCAGCACTTGTGTCTGGCCCTATGTCAGTCAAGGGTATGGTAGAAAAATGAAAAAAGGGAAATAGAATCAAGAAGTAAAACTTTTTCACATTTGAAGGCCATAACATCTCAGAAGTTTCTGGGGAAATTTGTGCATTCTGGCCTTTGGGGCTCAAAGAAGGAAAAACATATATTCTCCGTATTTTTAGCAGGCAGGAGATGATGAATGAAAGACAGATTGGAAAACCTTAGGCCGTGCCACCCTCCATGTCCTCAGTGACCGTCTGAGACTGCCTGTCCCTAGACAGCTGAAGTCTCTACCATTAATCAGCACTGTTTTTCTGGGGCCACTCAGTGTGAGGCATAATGCTCAGCTCTGTAGGGGTCACCTAGATGTATGAACCAATACTTCTGCCTGCCAGGAACTTTAATCACCAAAGGTCCTCATTGTCATGCTGGGACAAGTTCTATCCATTGTTATATCTCTTTGTTGAAACTAAAAGCACCCCAGATGGCCAATTTGACACATGAGCTAGATAGATATTCTAGGGCTTTCACTGACATTGTGTTCATATGGCCATCTCCACCATAGCAGTAGAACCCTTGCTGTGTATGGGAGAGACTGCTGGTTAGGGGACAAAATGGAGCAAATTTGTTATGATGAGTGATCAATCACCTTCTCTCCTGGGCTTGTTATTTTTGTAATGGCTCATGCTTAGTTATTCAATAATTTTTCTCTTTGTATATCTCTTCCAAACAGACTCTAGGCAGAGACTCTATCTTTTTTCATCCCTGTATTTCTAATGCCTAAGATAGTCATGCCTAGGAATGTAGGAATGTAGTACCTGGCACCCTAGATGTTAGGATTCTTAGCTGTGGAATTCTGTGTTTCAGTTTATTGCTGTGTGTCTTTCAGCAACTCTCTAAGCCTTAGTTTTCTCATCTGTCAAATGAAAATAATGATGTTCATTTCATATCATGATTGAAAACCAAATATATTCATGCCCCTAGAAAGCCTGGCATGGGATATGGCTTAGACAAACAGGCTCTGATTTTCATTAGTGTCATTAGAAAGATGTGTGAAATGGAAGGGAGAGGCAATAAGTGCTTGTAAAGTTACGAGGAGCGCCTTACCAAGTGCTTAGGGAAGGTTGGCTGTGATTGGAGTTTAGCTGTTCTGGACCGGAAGGGTATGGGTAGGCTTGGGAGGGGAGATAGTATTCCAGTTGTGCACCATGGCCAAGAATATATGAGGGGTCATCTCAGGGTGGGAGTGAAGGCTGGCTGAAGTGCAAGATAGAAAAGATAAGAGTGGAGAGGAAAGTTGAGGCTGTGCTACACAGGCTTCGAATGCTAGGCTATAGGGTAAGGGTGCTATGCTGGTGAATTTCTATTTCTGGTTAGCATGTATGAAATTAGCATGGGGGAGCAGGGCAGCCCCAGTCTCAGAGGATCCAGCAGCTCCTATTGTAACTTACCTATTACCCCTGCAGGAATATTTAGCTGGCTTGATCTCTACTTGATCCCTCCAGTTCCTTGTCAATCAGTTCTCATTCAGTGACTCTGAAATCAGTCTCAGAGATGGTCAAATGGGTATCTTGAAATTCCTACATAACATTTTTTTAAAATTTTATTTAAGGAGAAAAGAAAAAAAAAGCAGAGAAAGGGTACAAGTTATACAGATTTACAGAAAAAAAATGAACAGTAGGAAATCACTAGTTAATGGATTACATATTGTCATCTTAGAAATAATTGTTCAAGTCACAAAATTAAAGCTTGTAAAGTGGACATTCCAACAATGATACTGCAAACAGTTCTGTTCAATGATCCAATAAAACTCTGTGATATCATTTTCTATCTTATACACTTAAATATACATGCAGTTATATAGTTTAGAGCACTTTCTTTTCCTCTCTTTTGTACAATGACTATTACACATTTTGGGTTTCATTGCTCCCACGGTTATTACTTTTTTGGAAGAGAGTAAAACCAAATGTGACATAACAGAACAGAATCGGTCAAGTCAAAAGGGTGGGCATAATAGATAATGTAAAAACATAATACAAGGTGATCAACAATGGTTACCATAATGCCTCCCGCTATCTCTATACATTTTTTTTACATAACATTTTTTTTAAATTTTTATTTAAGGAGAAAAGAAAAAAAAAACAGAGAAAGGATACAAGTGAAATTCCTTCAATTATGAAAATAACCTAAAGATTTGAGTTTGAATCGCAGTTCAGTTATTGTGACCACAGGCATCACAGAGTCCCTGTCTGAGCCTCAGGTTCTCCGGTAGAGAGGCACATGAGCTTAGATGACTCCCTAAATTAGTTCATCTCCAATGCCCTAGCTTAGGGCTACACCCTGTTCTTTATCAGTTGCCAGCCTGTATGCTCTCCTGATGCCAATATTAACAGAAACTCTCCAGGTCTGAGCATTTGTGCTGGCCCAGACTGGAAGATATTTTGAAATGATCAAGATGCCAATTGTTTAGGCCCCTAGCTAATATTTTCTGAATGAATTACTGGGAAAAAGCAACCTGTCTGAATATCTTCCTGAAGTCCATGCTGTCTTGACAAGACATGGGAGGCCACAAACACTCTTAGAAATTTCAGTGCTTTAAAAGTTCTGAACATTAATGAGGAGTTCAGGCCTTTGGGGCCATTTCCAGGGTTGTATTTGCATCTGAACCTGTGGTGCTGGTCTTTGCTGGTCCCTGGAGAGAACAGGCAAATGGGCTGGGTGCTCAAGTCTGGTTCCCTGCAAGGCAACAGGTCACTGTGAATTACGCTCTGCCACGATTTTCTTCTTCCTCTTCTCCCCCTTCTTCTCACCCTCTTTCTCCTCTTAATTCTCCACCTCCTCTTCCTCCTTCTTCTTTTGGAAACATATGCTGACTTCTCTGCACTGTACCTTGTGGTGACTATATGGCTTTTAGCTTTGGAGAGATATGGATTTGAATCCAAGTTTCACATTTGCTAGAAATGTGGCCTTGTAGAAGTTGCATAGCCTATCAATCTGAGCCACAGTTTCCTTGTACAGAAAAGTGGAATATCCTCTGCAACTTCTACAGTGTGTGATAACACCAGAAAATATATACAAAGTGCTTGAAATAGTATAACATAATCAAATTTTCATGCTATTCTTCATTGTTGTTTGATGACATTGACTGCATGCTAAATTCAGAAGTGGAGTGATACCCTGATTTTGGAGGGAGAGGAATTTATCCTGAGAAGAAACTGATGAAGGTTAGTAAGGTCAAAAGGTCTTACATAAGCCTGAGGCTTGAGAATGGCAGAGGAAATAGGAGCTGAACTTTGTTCCACATGCAAACAGCCTAATCTTGTCTCACTGTGAATTTCTCATCTAGAAAGTGGGATTCACTGCATTTACTGCCCTGGTCTCAAGACATGCTGCTTCTGAGTCTCCAGTGGACTTCCCATCTTTCTTCAAGCAGGCACAGAGTCCTGGGCTTTTGGGAACTATTTCAGTCAATGTAGCTGGGATTGAGGTGGTGCCTGGTATAGAAAAGTGGGGATCCCAAACTCAGTGCCTTCACATACAGACTGGCTGCAGCAGATCTTCTGCCCCAGAGCTTGGGGAGCTGGCATTGGTTGTTCAGCTTGGATACACAATAAGCGGGCCGGCCAGCTGGTGTGTTGCTCCAGCTGGTGA